CCCCCCCCGCCTGCCTGCCTGCCGCTCGCCTCCCCGCTAATCTCACTATCTGTCCAGCACGCCTCCCCGCATCTCCCGACCGCTGCTCTCCTGCTCGCCATCTTCCCGCCTGCCTGCCTCCTCACCCCCTTCCTGCCTGCCGTTCACCTCCTCACCGCGCTTGCCAACCCACCTCCCACCCTTAACACGCCGCTCAGAGCAGCGTGTCGGAGCCAGACACGCTGATGTGCTGATCCGCCGGAGCGCACTTTACCGCGTTATATCCGAATTCATGTTATATCGGGTCGCATTATATCAGGGTAGCGGTGTATTGTATCCTGCCATTTATGATTTTTTTTATTACTATTATAACGCTCATCTGCTTTGAAATACAGAGAGAAAGACCCAGGTACCTGAGCCAGCAGCAGGGTGAATGTGTTTGATGGATCACTACAAATCTGAAGAAATACAGGCAGCAGCACAGTGGTGAGCTGGAGCCGGTTCGCACCGGTTCGCGGGAACCGGTTGTTAAATGTAGAAGCCCTTTTAGAACTGGTTGTCCCGGTTCTAAAAGGACTTTTAAATTGAACAAAAGCTCCAGCAGCTCCCTGCCCTGCCCCCGGCCCCAGCTCACCTGGCTCCGGCTCCGCCTCCGCCTCTTCCCCTGAAGGCTCCTCCTCCCGGCGTCCCGCGAATCAGCTGTTCGCGCGGGAAGCCTGAGAGGGCTGAGAAGGAAGCAGCAGCTTCCTGCAGGTGAGCTGGGGCAGGGGGCGCGAGGAGGGCTCCAGGTGCCGCGCGGCTCCGGGCGGCCCCGGCCCTGACTCCGGTCCAGCCCCCGCCTTCGGGCCAGACAGCGGATCCGGACCTGCCCTTGGCTCAACCCCCGGCCCCAACTCTTGGCTGGCTCCGGGCCGGCCCCTGACTCTGGGCCAGCCCCCACCTCTGGGCTGGCCCCCAGCACCAGCCCCTGGCCCCGACTCCGGGCTGGGCCCCGACTCTGGGCCGGCCAGCAGCTCCCAGCCCCCAGCTCCCGGCCCCGACTCCGGATGGCACAGGCCCCACCTCCAGGCAGTGTGGTAAGGGGGGTGGGGGGGGGTGGATTAGGGTCGGGACTCGGGGCTGTCAGATGGCAGGGAAAAGGGGAATTGAATGGGGGCAAGGGTCCTGGGGGGGCACTCAGGAAGGAAGGGGTGTTGGATGGGGCGGTGGGGGGCAGTCAGGGGCAGGGGTTCCAGGGGCAGTTGGGACAGAGAGAAGGGGCGGTTGGATGGGGCAGGGGTCCCGGGGGCCATCAGGAATGAGAGGAGGGGTTGGATGGGGAGGCAGGGGGCAGTTAGGGGACAAGGAAGGGGGGTGGATGGCGCAGGGGTCCCGGGGGTGTCAAGGAATGTGGGGGGTTGGATGGGGAGGCAGGGGGCAGTTAGGGGACAAGGAAGGGGGGTGGATGGCGCAGGGGTCCCGGGGGTGTCAAGGAATGTGGGGGGTTGGATGGGGCACGACCCCCTTGTGGGGGG